GCTTGCAAGGATGTTTGTCTTTAATTAAAGTAGCTTGCGCCTCCTCTCACGGGAGAGTCGCGTCGTTCTTAATATTCGATCGGTGGCTCGTCTATTTAATTAGCCGCGCGTCAGAAGCCAATTTTACTCGAGGAATTTCAATGGTCGCGAGATCAACGCTCGGTGTTTGCTAGTTGTTGAGGAAGGGTGAGCCAGGTCGATTAATTGAATTGTTAATTGCGTCGTCAGTTATGTTTTACTTTTCTCCCGCGGAAACGAACGAAAAAGCGCGTTCGTCTGGCAAGTTGACAAGCGAAGGTATTATTGTTGATTGCACGGCAGAAGTGAATAAAACATCTTGCGAGGGTGATGAAGACGTAGAAGGATAAGAAGAAGGGTGAAATTGAAAAACTTTGCTTTTGAATATTTTCCACGTCGTGCGCTCGCGGGAGACTTGAAATTCACCGGAGGAAACTGGCGCACTCTCCTTATACACAACGACGACTTGGCCAGCTTCTTAATCCGCGAGTGCTTGGATATTCGCCGACGAGGAGGAAGAGAAAAAAAATGAAAACCAGTGTATATACACAGGGTAAAATAGAGAAAGAAGCTTTAATTGAAAAAAACATGGGCTTTCAGCAGCAGCAGCAGCCAGTCTTCCATTCATTTCTTCATCGAGACGTTCGACGATCATAATTACTCGCCGCTGAGACCGTTGACATTTTTCTCTCTCTCTCTCTCTCTCTCACCCTCCTTTGCCGTCGCCACAGCAGCAGTCGCTAATTGTTCTGCCGCCCGCTTAACGAAGGAACTAACGTCGATACTTTGCGAGAGAGCTGCCCATACGCGAGGGATTCATTAGCAGTTGGCTGCTGCTGCTGCCGTGCCACTGCTACTGCAGGGCTTTTCGGTCCAAGTTATTTAAAGCGACGACAATCTACTACGACAAGTGCAAGAATGAAGCTGTTTCTTTTTCTATTCCTTTTTAGCAATCAGTTATTTCTTCGTTCGTCTCTTTTAATATCTTTCATATTTAACTTTGAAATCTACGCTTCATTCTTTGTTCGTTCAACTTTACACCAGTAGTCTCGCAATGGGAGTTGAAAGTGTGTCAGTTGTCATTAGGCTTCGTTTCGGAGATTAAAGACTTCTTCTGTACATGCTTAGTTTTTGATTGACACGAATATGCGGTTTTACAAACATTTTGTACAATTTGCAATGCGAATACGAGTTATAATAAAATTCAAATTAAATAATAAAGAGGTTGTCAAAAAGACCGCAATTTTTCAAAGTAGCAATCGTGGTTACTTGTTCAGACAACGAAAGAAACTCGTCAAAGAAATTTAGCAATTTCTCAGTCTGACCATTGCCGCATATCTTCTACTTGACCATTTGCAAAATATATAGAATTATAATATTCTGATCTCATTAAGCAGCAGCAAAGTTTCAGACAAATAAAATTCATTCGTAAATAAGTTTTTCCAATGAATAATTAACGCAGCATTCCTCACACCTGCAGCCAATTAAAGTATATTTAAAACAATTAAGATGCTGCAGCAGCAAGCTTACAAGTTTCCTGTGCTTGACTAATGATTATTCAGCGTATACGCGCGCGCGCGATGCATTCAAAGCAAAAACTAAACGCTCTCTCGCTCTCTGCAAGTAGGTGGAGTCGTGGAGCATAAGATCTTACGTCTTGTTCGACGCCTTGAATCGAAAGCAGCAGTTTACGAAACTTGGCGCAGGGCGCAAGTTTAAATTAAGCCCCATCCATTAATGACAATGCGCTCGAGTTGCCGGAGAGACGGAGTATATACATGTGAGCACACGCAGCTGCTGCTACTTGAAATCGCTTAGAACCAGATTTGCATTAAGCAGTCAGGAGGCAGGATTCGCTCACGACAGCACCGCCAGTACCGGCAGTCGTAGCTTATTAATTTCTACGTCGTCTCGTTTTTGACGCGTGCCATTTAATCTTTTTTATTGCCGGCGGCCATGTACATTGACATTATGCGAGAACGTGACTTCCATTCGGTTGATGAGGAAGTTAGTAAAGTGTGGTTAAAGTTGTTAGGGGCTCAAGAGAAAGTTTCTCGCGCGCAATGGTTAGATCAAAGTCGAATGTACGCGTGTTTGGTCAGACGCATTAACGTGGCGGTTTATCATTTTTGATGTTGTGCAAAAGAGAGATAGATAGATAGAGAGAGAGGGAGAGAGAGAGAGAGAGAGAGAAAGAGAGAGAGAGAGAGAGAGATAAACTCGACTTAAAGTTTTGAGGGCTTGCGCATTTATTGGATGATGGAATATTTTAGTGGTTGCCTATCTGCGTTCATTTATTGCTCAAATTAAAAGCTACGATCGACTCTTCAAGTACAATTTTAGTTGAAGCTTCATAATGTAGTTATATATTTTATGAAACTATCAGAAAATTTTCACAAAGAAAAGGGTTTTCATTTGCTTGAAAGCCTGCGAGCTAACTAAAAATCAATAAAACCGAATATTTCATGAAATATCTCTATTACCGCTTTTATCATTGAAACGACTCATTTATTAGATAAATTAGATAAATAACTGAAATCTACCCTCTTCGAAGAAGAAAAAAGGAACGTGAAGGTCGATCACATAAGCGACAAATTAGTTGTACTCACGAGACCACAATCTATATATCCAGGCTAAAAACGTCAAGGGATCACCATAAATTCTGGATTATTCTAAGCAGCTGCATGCTTATGGATTATATGCCCCACCCCGCTCTCACCGAAAATGAAGACAAATGTGAAATCAATATATCGCAAAAATGCACGTGAAAGAGAAAAAATATGGGAGAATTTTTGCGAGAGATCGGCTAGCGCGAATATTAATGTGGCCAGCCTTCGGGGTATGCTTTGATCCTCTCTTCACGACGAGACGCCGTGGGCACTCTCGCAATTTGCAAAGCGCTCGATTCCATTTCGAGCGCCAAGGGGTACGTAGTACGCACTCACTTTTTTCTGAACTACTGCTCGTTGGCCCTTTTTTCGGTTTGCCTCGATCGTTGCCTACCTTTGCCTTTGTTCTGACGGATTGGCCGACGCTATTTTCTGCTGCTTTTTTTGGATCGTTTAACTAGTATTTAACGTCTGCATAGTGGTTAGTGAGATTTTTCTTATTGTACGCTAATCTACTTCTCTCATTTTTACACTCTTTTTTACTGTTCCTGTCATTCTTTCAGAGATAGATTGACTATATTTGTAGTTACTTATTAAATAAGTAAGTGAACGCGTAGAAATATTTCTTTAAAAATTATAATTCATGTAAATGATAATTTCACAAAAAAAAAAATAACAGAACTAAGAGATTTTTCATACATGAAGTTACGTTATAATATACTTCTATACAATAAAATTGATTCAATCTGAATATTATTTTAGAACACTATTTTAGAAATGTAATATAATTTGTCTCTAATTTGTTTCCATACAAATGTATTTCGAATTATAAAAATGAGCATACGTATATTCTACCTACTGCCTTTTCAATCTGAAGTTTCCATTTCTAAACTGAAACTGCAACATTTTATTCCATAAAAAGAAAAAGAAGATTGACGCAACAAAACACATTTGTTTGTTTTTTATATACGTAACTGTCTCTCTTTCTCTCTCTCTCTCTATTTTCTCTTTTTCAGCGCAGAGAAAAAAATACGAGGCAGTCATAATTCTAGCATTTTTCCACATTTATTCAATAACGATAGTCGGGGCGTCGAAATAAAAAAAATCGCCACGGAATCAGAATCCATTCCAATAAAATATCGGCCATCGGCATCATCCATTCTAGCCATAAAGCATTGCATATATACCATCCCTCGCGCGCAGCAGTAGGATAGAGTTCGTTGAGTTATTCAAAAGCGCCGCGGCGCGCGCGTAAGGTATACATAATACGCGCGACGCGAGCGATCGATCGAACTTTTGCCAAATGCGCGCCCACGTGGCTCTAGCTGCTATATATTCAAGGCGACGTTGTCTGCATGTTTTTAGCTGCGAATTATCTCTTCGTCGCCCAGGGGGAACCTCTCTCTTTTTTTTTTACTTTTTTTTTGTCACGAGTTTACGGCTGCGTGAAAACCTGGGCGTTCGGATTTACAGCGATTTTTATTTCGCCCGTAAAAGACAAAGTCTCTTTTATGGACTTGTGTATGCGGGAACAGCGTTAACACCAACGAGCTTCGAGTGTAATGTCTGTACATTACTTTCAACGCTTGATAGTCTTTCGGGTAAATCCTCTTGTTACCCTTTGATCCAGCTTCTGCAAAGGAATTTATTATTGCCGTTCGATGAGTCACTCCGGCATTTCAATCTGATTTCCGAAAACCAATTATTATTTAGCTGATGATTAATCATTTATGATTTTAACGCTGCTTCCATTTTGCGACTTTGCAAGCCGACAAAATTTCAATCTACTTGAAAATTATAAATTATCATTTATCTTTTCAGTAAGTCGTATTATATATAAATTTTGTAAATAAATAATACACATCTATTTCTCTGGAATTGAATGATGCGTCAAAAATATATCGAACTTGTATCGCGTTTTATTTTACCTTGTATCGGATTATCTCTCGTGAAAGGTAACGAACTCAAAGTTCATTGGCACCCACTTTTAACTTAATTTTCAAAGCAATCAACTGCCTTTTAGCTAGCTTCAATTAAGGTCAGCAGCTCTCGTCGAACTATCAAACTCTGTCTGTCTGTATGTCCGTCTCTGTCTATTCGTTCAACTAACGAACCGTTATTTTAAAAGGCCTTTTATCAAGTGAGCGTAAAAAAAAGTAAAAGAAATACGTATTCGCGACTATATCACAGAAAGCGACAATTACAGCGAATTAGCGTCTTGTAGATCGCGCGCACTAACGGGTACACAGTAGGAACAGAAGAAAAAATCATGGGACACAAACGAATATTCCTTTAAACGAAACAAATGACTCTAGTTTCCAGCTCTGACGGCAGTCCAATTATTGGATGTGAGTATTTACGTTTACAATTTATTGGTTTTTCTTTACTTTGTTGACTGTCCTATGATTGTACATGTTAATCAATAAATAGCCTTGACGGTATAGATGAATTCAAACAATAATGTAATATTAATATATTTTTTATCAATTGAAAGTTTTTCCTAATCTATACAGCGTCGAATAATTGATTTTATTTTTCTCAACCTATCTTTCTTAAAATAGTTACTTATCATTATCAAAACAATTAAACAAGAAATGATACAAAAATATTTCCTTATTTTTCACATAAGTACATCTTGAAAATTGATGCAATCTGAAATAATAACGATAACCTTAGCAAAAGAGATCCAGAAATATTCAAAAGTAATAATGGAAACTATTGCATCAAAATAATACTCGTGGATGTGCTTTCGATAATTGACTTGGAATGTGCATATTGCTTAGAAGTGGAAACGAACAAACGCACAGACACTTTGATTGAGTTAATTCGATTAACAATCGACTCACCGCATTGTCATTACTCAACAGTAAAAATAAATAAGCTTATGAAAAATTCTTTGACATTTCACATGATTTGATATCAATCACGACAAAAGATATCCGTTCTTTCATGTAAATATCAATTTTATTGTCAATCTACTCACACACATAAAAAAATTCATACGAATTTTTACCTGCGATTCACACAATAGTATTAAAATATCAAAGAATTTTGACGTAGCATGCGTTTAATTGATTGTAGGCTAGTATGGCTTATTTTCATTAAAATCAATGGTTTCCCAAAAAATTTTTTCTCCTAAATTATTATTACTTTCTTCTTTGAAATCTCCTGATGCCCTCATATGTAAATATTTAAGATCCGCATCGTTTGGATTAATGGATGACCATTGCGGACCAAAATTGGGAGCGCTGAAAACGAATATTATACATTAAATCAATATTGTATTTGAAAGCCATTACAATTGAAAATAGTCAAACCCTTCGCGAGCAACAGAAAGCCAAAATTTAAGTAGATCTCCATGCATAGCAAAGTCTCTATCATTGTTCGTTGGATTTATCATGTGATTCCCAAGAATTAAAAGTACATCATCAGCGTGACTAACCCCTGCAAATTCATGTGTCCTACGTTATTTTATTAACGACAACGTTGCAGACGTCAACTGACCAAAGTTTTCAGTTGTATTAGACATTGAATCGGACAAACTACTCCTAGCTCTGTATGAGTAATAATAGAACCAAACTGGACTTCGATTAACTTTTGCTTGCGCTCTAGCAGCTTTTTCAGCATCGACAACGAAGACTCTATCACCATTCAGATGCGTAAGATTTATAAAATTGCCTCGAGTGATCAATTGATCTCCAAAGTAATGCTTTCGAATTTTCTGTGATACTGATGCGTGATCTTTTTTTGGAATTGTATAGTAAAATTGAAGCAGCTGTGGTGCTATTTCATTCCAATTATCATTCAACTCTTGAAAAGCAGTTTCATTCGTTACAAATTCTGTAATAATAAATTTTTTCAATATTATGTTTGCGGTCCAAGAAAATGTTAAAAATGTCCGCACCTGCTACAGCATAAAGCCCTTCTTCTTTGACTACTCCAGTTATCCACGGTGCGTCATAAACGTCACCAGTATTGATAACGTCAATTGGAGAACGATTAATAAAAGGATCTGGTGTGTATTCTTCTATCACTGGTCCAAATGGTGAAAACTCATTCAAATGCCATGGCTTATATGAGAAAATTCAGTGTTAGAAAGTTGATAATCACAACTTGAATGCAATTCGAAAATAGCTTTCTTACCATGAAATTAATTTGTGCCGAGACTATATCATATGCGGATCGTGTTCTTAAGCAGTCGACCATATTGATTATATCACCAATCGGGCAATTCATGAGTTTTCCTAATTTTATAGCTTTTTCTCTTGAATTTTTAGCCTGTGTCCAAGAATTAAAGGCAGTGCCACTGAAAGAAATTCCACTTCGAAATAATCCTTTGCTCATCGGAGATAAATAATGATAATGGACACTTGCAGCTCCAGCACTTAAACCTGCAAGTGTTATTTTTTTTGGATCACCTCCAAAGCACTCAATGTTATCTGAAACCCACTTAAGAGCCATAGCTTGGTCTTTAAGACCCATATTGCCTGCTACGACTTCATCTTCTGTGCTTAAAAATCCAAGAGTTCCATGACGATAGTTAAAGGATATAAAAATAACGTCATGGTCTATCAAATAATGTTGTTCGGTTCCTCCAATTGTGGCAAATTGAAAACCTCCAGCGTAAATCCATAAGATGACCGGTAAAGAAGTATTGTTTTTTTTAATTGGCGTATAAATATTCATGTACAAACAATCTTCGACACCGCGTACATATTCGTTTTCTTTAAAATCTCTGTTGTAACCTATACACATATCATGAAAGGTATTTGCTACGATTTCTCCTTTCCACGGCTGCATCGGTTCAGGCGGCTTCATAAGGTAAAATTAATAATATATATCTTAATATTAAGTGATTATTAATAATGTATAACTTAATATTAAGTGGTTATACTAGATTCATATAATTATCCTTTTAACATTCGTGAAAAGTAGAGAAAGTTAGAAAAATCCACGTATTAAACTTTTTTGATATGCGACAATGCTGCACAATCAAATAATGCAATCTGATAAAATGTTGTTATCAGTGTTCAAAGTATTGACGAAACACGACAAAATATAAATTACAAAAACATTAAACAAGATATTAGATCGTTTATTAAGATAAGGGTAATTAAGGTCATTAGCGAATATTAATACGCTAATTAGGAGTAATGTATATTTTGTGATGGTTCGTCATATAATCAATTGTTGTTTGAAATAATTACAATCGTATCGTATTTATGAGCATACCATGAATCTTCTATTTCCAATTGGTGGTTTAGCATATGGTATACCTTCGTAAGCTTCATAATTATTACCTCTGTTAGATATTTTATAGTGACCCTTAATTTCACCCAAATGGCTTTTTACACTAGGAAAATTTTTAGAAAGACTTAACTTTATAAGCAACAAAAATAACGAGAAAATTATATTCGCGATATGCATTTTAAACCGTCTTCACTTCATCAAACTACTAACAACTATAGCAATTTGAAAATCACTAATGCCCTCTTCTTATATATTATGATAAACGTTATCTCGCAATTCGATAAGCAGTATGTAACACGGCACCAGATCGCTCGTTACTAACACATACAAATATAAAGTACGTTAAGAGCCGCACATCGTACTGCTGGCGCGCATGTACATTGTAAGAGGGGAGAAAAAACTAAGCCCGGAAAAAATGAAAAAAAGGAGAAAGAGATATAGAGAGATCATCCAAATTTGCGAGATAGCATCGCGACTTTCTTATGCAATTTGACCTGCTGATCACGAATCGCTAGGGTGATTTCCCGGTACATGAGTCCAAGGGTGATTTTCTAGAAAATTTTGAATATATTTTTCAGCTTCGCTTTTGCAAAATAGTTTCATCTGTTCTTCATAGAAATTATTTTTTTTTAATTTGTATTTACAATTTGTCTAGAAAAATGACAAAAGCTAAATGTTATAAGAATACCATTAGTAATACATGAAACTTCTTTCCATTATATAATCTGAATTCAGTTATTTCAGAATATTAACCAGTTATAGTTTATCAAATTCAACTTTTTAATTACTAATTTTTTTATTTTGATGATTTCCCAATAATAACGTGATATTTCACAAGAGAAAGATAACATTTCTACGAAGAACTGAATAAACAGTTTTAAAGCGCAAAAGAGAAAAATTATTCAAAATTTTTCGGAAAATCTCCCTTGTACATATTTTCCAGAAGATCATCATCGTGATTCGTAATTACATAAAAATAGCTGTGATAAGTGACCAAATCTCGATATAATCTGTGTGTGACACTAAGTGATGGGTACAGATAGTCGACAACAGATCTTCAAACATTAAAATTTGCAATATTGTTAGTGCTAACTGACAATGACTTTTCGATTTTTCGAAAAAGGGTTGAATTGTACTTCACAATGCTGCAATCTAATAGTAGACATCAGACGGTCTTGTAAAACAGCGCATTTCGTACACACAAGTTACTTTAGCTTTAGATAGTCGATGCGGTTTGGTGTCGCTTGCTGAGGACGCAACATCAGCCCTTTATGGAGGTATGCAGAAAACGAGTATCCATAATACAGGAGTACAAGTAGATAAACAAGCACTGTGTAAAATGCCAACCACGCTTAGCTAGGTCGGCAACATCGCACGTGTGTACTGTACGCCCTATTAACGTAATGTACTATTTTATGTATTTTGACCCGCTTATCATGAGTTGCAAAAGCGATGAACTTTAAAGTGCCTCTAAAAGTTATAAACAATTGAATTATTTAAATCGCTGTAAAATGAGCACAATTAATAAAAATTCACTCACAATTATCAGATTGTAGCATTGTGAAGTACAACTTAATGCGAAATACTGTTAATTACTGTTAATAACGACATTCATAATAATCATTCTTGTGCGATGACCTGTCCCTTGCGGTATCAACTACTCTGTAATTGTAGTAGCTGAGCCTTTATTTGCTTTAGTTTGAATGCGTACAGCATTTTCAGCATCAACAGTAAATATGCAATGACCTATCAGATGCGTCAATATCATTACGTTTTTTCTGCTGATCATTTTGTCATCAACATAATATTTGTAAATTTTTTAAGCAAGACACGTGTTCTAGCTTTGATATAGTATAGTTATAGTCATGTAATAATGGCACTGACAGTTATTTCTTTCTCTCAAAGCAAGATTGTTGGCAAGTTCTGCAAACAATCGGTTTTGCGATGAATAAATGTTCCTTTCATTGGTTTATTTGGTTATTGTCTGTATACCTGTTACTGGATAAAGCTCCCTTCACTTACAAAACCAGTAATCCAAGGTACATCGTTGGCTCTACCAGTATTTATTATCTCGCTGGGTGGGCTATCGATAAATGGATCTGCGGCAAATTTCTCGACTATAGGACCGAAGGGCGTAAAAGGATTTAGTCGAGAGAGCTTTCGGATGAAACGAACAAAAGGCGTTTTCAGCTTGACTTGTTTATGGTGACTTTGAAGTTTAACATTTTTCAAAATTTATTGTCAAAAGATCTCTTTAATTCTAGATAAATAAATTTATAATATAAAGATTATTTTGTACTTAGGATAATAAAATAAATTATAATTTCATACTTTTTAATTTTGAAAAAAAATTATTCCTGTCAAATTTTTAAATATAGATTTAATTAGCATTCATCTAATTGAAAAGAATCATCGATGTAATCGAGCTGAACAAGAGGAAGATGGAGTTCCTACTTTACGAAGGACTCCCTGAGGCTCCTCCTGTCGCCTCAAAGCATGAAGCGGTGAGAAAATATTGTCCACGGAAAAGGCTCCGCTGCTTCCATGTTTCACGACCACGTTTTTTTTGACTATACCATGGGAGCATGCTATCGGTTGGCATGAATGAGCGACAAAACTATAGTGGAGATCCTTCCTCCCAAGCATACCTTTCATAGACTTTTCTTTAACTTCTTTGAGAAGCCCGTTCGTGGAACTCATAGACACAGCTTCTCTCGGCGAATCCTCACTCGGGTTACTCCCCAAACCCTTCGAATCTCTAAGAATACCTGATACTGAGCTTTATGACTACCGCCGTTCCAGACAGCTTGCCCCGGGTTGGGCCTAACTTCACGCCGCGTCCCGGTCCCCGTTTTATATTACTCAATTGTTCTAGGACTTATCGCATACATAAATTAAATTAAATTCATTTTTTTGAATTTCTTGGAATATAAGTGTAGCTAAACTAAACATCCGTATATAAGTCAGTTCGCTCATCGTTTGGATTATACAAATTAAAAATTGGTTATGACCTAAAAGAGAATATATTCAGTTTCTTTCATACCGAACTTACATTTTATACTGCATTAAAAGTTAATCCAGTTTTTTCTGATAACTTTAAAACTTTGTTAATTTTTCTAATAATTCGTCCTAATCATAAAAAAAACTGAAATTCTTACCGAATAGGTTAATTTATTTTTACATGGTGGTTCTGATTCGATCTTAAATTTTATACCAGTCATGGTACGTGTAAACTCTCTCACCATTCCAGAAAGCTATATATATCGAAAATTAACTTCTTTAACTTAGCAAAGTAAAATGAAACATTCATAAGGCTGAAAATAGTTCTTTCAAATTGACCCATTTCATATGGTGTAATGAACTCTGTTTTTTCTTTTGCTTATTCTAACAAGAGAATTCATATTCGCCCATGCACTATCATACACTATGCATTATCCAACCAATATTATCGTGGATCTGTTAGAGTCACAGATTGATATACCAATCCCATTTATTATTTCCAAAGACACTTCATCTTCTGTGTATTCAAAAAATATTCTATCGTAACGAAAATAAAGTCTTATTCTATAAACTAAGTTCCACGTTCATGTTCGTGATCATCATGGCCATACTGAAAAGCACCACCGTGAAAACAAAATATTAGAGGCAACAAAATATTGACCTGAGGCTTTGTTGACTGGCTTGAACGTGAAATAGTACATTACGATATAAGTGCGGAAAAGTAGATTCTTGTCTCGTGTGGTGTTTACGCTTGAGCGAAGCGAGGGTGGACGAGAAACTCTTTCCCGAACATGTGTCGTACCGTATTTTTCGATGCGACATGTGGAAAGCTCGTTTTTGAACGCACGTTTTTGGTCGAGCGTGCAGAAAGTACGTGCTCGAAAAATCATTTAGAAGTTCATCGTGTATAAGATCGTGTTTAAGACCTTTTACCATATTTTTCTAGATAACAGCGACTTTGCTATCGAATATTTGGTCATAGGTCCATGTCGTTGATCGCTTCACTTATAATTTGTGTTTATAAATACAAACACCAAAACAGTATATTATTAATCTTGATCGGTGCTGATACGACACTTTTACCTGAGATATTGCCGCACCTTGCGATAACCTTTACTTTATCGCAGTAACGCTCTTTGACAAACAAGTATAATTCGTGGATAAATCAGCGGATCCGTCATATTGCATTATCAGTAGAAATTGCGCTCGACATATGAAATCTTCATCCATCCGTTCTCTCGAATTTCGGGTGATGTGAGAATGTTGGAATGCAACCGAGCGTACACAGCGGCTTCAGTGCACTTCCTCTTGCAGAAACCTTAATATCAATTTCGACGTAGCGGCGTCTTGCTCAGATTTCTCTGAGTATACTGCGAGTGCTCATTTGCTTAATTGCTCGTGTTCAAACATACGAATTCTTGATGCCTATTTTCAAGACAAAGAGGGATGGCCTGTGTTTGTTTTCATAAAGGAATTTAATTTCTTTGAAGATTATTGAGTCGAAAATGAAGCAAACTAATTTCATATGATATACATGAGTCTATACGAGCGTGTTAATGACGGATGTCTATTTATGGTTCGTTATAATGATTAATATTGATTGGAAATTCTTGAAATTGCATTACCGATAACTTGAAGACGTTTTCTATAATAAATCAAGTGAGTTATAAAATAACCGACATATTATCTGTAGTTTTTATATAAGTATATTTCCTTTTGTGGCAATGAAGCTGATATTCAATATTGATATCCTTTACATTCAAGATTATTAATAATTTAATCCCCGCTATTCTATCGTATTATTCCGATGCATTGCCGATTTTCCAGTTGTCTGATGTATAGTTAAAAATGACGATACTTTAGCAGTAAATGAATACTTTCCTTCAATGTAAATTCAAAAATCGACGCGATATATCCATCTGACTCAACAAGCCCCGAAGCAGGGTGGTTACTGGTCACTTGAAAATCAAGGTTTCGTACGTACACTTGCCGCTTGGAATTCGGCTCTCTATATATCTATAGTACTGAGCGTACAAGTTGAAATTACTACTCATCGACCCATCGGACGTGTACACATTGCGGAGGCCGAGCTGCTCTGCAATATCAATCGTCGCTCTTTCCGCACTAGCAAAAGACACATCGACACCACAAAGCATATATATGTATATGTACGTAAGGGAGAAACTTGTATAT